GAAGAATTCTTGTGAGGCAGTGAGAACATCCTGTTTGATAGTTTCCCAGGTTGCTTTGAAGAAGTTTCCATTGAATCCATCAGGTCCACTTGCACTATTGCCATCTAAATCCCAAACAGCCTGTTTAACTTCATCCAGGGAGGGGATGGTACAGATTCTGAGGTTATCTTCTGAGGATATGATCATGGGGATGAGAGGAAGGATTGGTTCAAAGGAGGGTGGTTGGGACTGCTTGAAGCTGTTTTCAAAGAAGGAGATGGCTTCTGTCTTGATCTCTGAGGGGTTGCTAGTGCCCGCTCCATTTGGTTTAATAATATGAGATATAGAGAGTTTCTTTCTCTTTCCTTTAACATATGCCTGAAAGAGTTTGGAGTTGGAATCTCCCTTTTCCAGCCATCTGATGTTTGCCTTTTGCTTCCAATAATGGACCTCCAGATTTGTGGAATAAATCAAGGCTGCGTTGGCTTTCTGCATTATTTCTCTATTTTCTTGTGAAGGATTAATCTCAAACTCCTTTTCCGCTTCCAAGGCTTTATCTTCTGCTTGTTGAAGTTGGGAGAAAATGTCTCCAAAAGTTTCCTTGTTCCAGGTTTTGAGGGCTGCTTTGAGGCTAGAGAGTTTATTAGCCAAACCTCTCATTCCTCCTATGGTGGGCAGATTATCCCAAGTCTTTTGAACCATGGAATGGAAGGTGTCGTGCAGGGTCCAAGCATTAAGGAATCTAAAAGGCCTTGGTCCAGTAGGAGTGGTCTTACTACAGTGTACCAAAAGGGGTTTATGATCTGAGTTGAATTTGGACAGGTGCTTGAGGGAGACTTCATCATAATAAGCTAGAAGACAAAGATTAGTTAGGATTCTGTCTAGTCTCCTCCAGGTCCTTCCTTGGCTTCTAGTCCCAGACCAAGTGAACAAACCACCTTTTGGTTCTAGAGTGATCAAGTTACAGTTTGAGATGCATTCTGAAAAATCTTCCATACCTTGAGTGCTTGGGATGCATTTTCCTTTGAATTCAGTAAGGGATGCAATGGTGTTGAAGTCTCCCCCAATAATCCATTGGTGGTTGAGCTTGCTGTAATTCTGAAGATTGCTCCAAAGTTCTCTCCTGTCAGCTATAGAGTGGGCACCATAAACTGAGGATATTATGATAGGTGAGTTGGTGGCTGTGTGGGTGAAATGGCAGTGAGTGATTTGGTTTTCATCATGGTAAGAGGTAAGGATAAGGTGTTCATTGCTCCCGAAAATCCATCTCTTATTATTAGAGGAGCAAATAGCATTTGAAAAGCCAAGATGTAGTCTGAAACTGTCAAGTTGGCTGTTGGAGGTAATGGGTTCAATGACACAAAGGAACTGAAGATTATGTTTCCTCTTGAGGAATATGAGCCTGCTGAGGGAGGAACTAACCCCACAGGCATTCCAAAAAATGAGCTTCATAAGGGATGGTTGGGGGGTACAACCTTCCTAGTCTTGCTCCTGGTTGCATAACCAGTGAGACCAGGTGAGGGTTTAACAAACCCTGATTTCTGTAAAGGCATTGAGACTTTGGCGCACCGAGATAAGTCCATCTCCAAAGGAGCAATAGGGGATTGCTGAGGAGTGGGTTGGTCTCCCTCGGAGTGGTAGCACAAAGGTGTGATGGTTTCATGATCCTCATTGTCAAAGTCTTCAGGCTCCCAAGAAGGATCAGAAATAGAGGGTAAGAAAGAGTCATCATGACTCCCTGAAAGGGGCTGGTTGGAAAGAGGAGGGATGTAGGGAATTATCTCTTGGCAGGAGTTAAGATTATCAGGATAAAGGAAAGAGAGATCTGGGGGGAAGGGAGGGGGTGGCAAAGGGGGGTTTGGGTTTGCAAGGGTGAAGGTGGTAAGGCCCGACACTTGGGGAGAGGTGATTCATCATCTGAGGTGTCTTCCACAATGGGAGGGAGTAGGGGCATACAAGGCTGGGGAAAAGGTTGGGGACTAGCTGCCAAAGAGGAAGTGGAAGTCCCAGGGGTACCAGGGTTCTTGGATTGTAGCTGTTGGTGAGAAATAATAATGGAATGTTGGGAAGGGAGCTTACTGCAGGGAGGGGGCTTTGGAGGCTGGGTTTTGGACATTTCCTGGTGACCATTTTCCATTCTTGAATCTGTGGAATTGAACTCCCCGCTCCTCGATGGCCCACCGCCACCACCGGACCTTTCCTCCGGCAATGGGAAAGGAGATGACCAAATCTATTACACTGGGTGCAGTAGGGGGTGTGTTCTTCATACGTGCAAGGGAGCCACAAATCTTTAGAGCCAAGTCTGACATGGATCTTAGGGGGTTTGGAAAGTGAGACATCCATCTCCACACAAACCTTGGTTGTGCCCGGGTAGATACCCATGGCAGTTTTAGCTCCCAACTTAATTGGTTTACCCAGGGCTGAGGCTATAGAGAAGAGAGGTTTGTGATCCGAAAGATTTAAAGGAATATTTCTAACCTCTACCCATAATGGGATAACTGGACAGTCCGAGTTGTGAGAGTGATTGGGAGTCCATTTGCATAGCGTGATAGTTGATGATTTTATCTTCCAGCTTCTCCTGTGAAACCAACGAAGATAGTCTTCTTCCCTCTTGAAGATGAAGAGTATCTCTTGAGTTTTCAGCCTCCTTAGCTTGAATTCCTTAAAACCCCCGTTTATTAGGAAATCTTCAAGGTCACGCATGTAGATTTTTGAGCTACACCTTCCAATTACTGCTCTGCTGAAGTTTCTGGCAAGATTCTCTTCTTCTTCCACCGTGAATTGCACTGAGGGGGCTGTATGGTACATGCCGCATAGTTTCACTGGGGTCTTAACTCTCTCCCCTTTGAACAGATAAGAGAAAAGGGTTTTTCCACTAATATTGTGATGGCTGGAGATGGCTGCCGGCGGTGTGCCGGTCGCCAGAAAGCTAGAGAGAGAAACAGCCGCCATCTTCCCATCATATATATATATATATATATATATATATATGGCAAAGAAATCAGGTTTTATTAATGAAAACGGAACGAGGGGATACAATCGTGGTACAAAATATTTTTAACAACATCAGGGCAAAGGTTGATATGCCAGTATTCCTTGAGAGGGGAGTCTAATGTCCTGTCCACCTTTGCGAGACCATCTGCAGCAGAGTTCCCTTCCCGTAAAATGTGAGAAACTTGAATCCCATTTTGAAGAATGAGTTGACCCAAAACGTCAATTGGGAAAGAGGAGACTGAATTTTTACTGAACAATGGAATCCTGGAAATAATGGACTTAGCATCAGTCTCATAAATCAGAGAATTGGAAATTAAAAGGGCCCATCTGATTGCTTTAATAGCGGCATCCACTTCAGCTTGGTAGGCACTCCTAGAGTGTAGTTTGAAGGAAGCCCCACGGACCAGTCTTCCTTCTGCATCTCTTAAAATAGCTGCACCTCTTTGATGTCTTGTGCTATAGGAGGCATCAACATTGAGTTTAAGCCTACCCGTAGGAGGTGCCTTCCATTTAACCATGCGAACGTAGTTGTGAGATGTGAACCTGGGTATAAGATTATGTGAGTATAACCAGGAGTCAAAATGTTGAAGTTTGCGGGGAGTCTTGATGGACAACCATTGTTTGGTATACGAATCAATCTTATGAATAAGACTTAGAGTGCTAAAATTGGAACATTTCCCATAAATGATCTCATTCATCTTTTTCCAGATGTGCCAAGTGATTATCCCTGGCAGATGTTTACGCAGTAGCCCGTAAAGGTTAGGTGTGTCCCTCAACCACCAGTTCATGAAGTGTTGGTTGATAGTAGGAGATTCTGTGTGGAGGAAGTTTAGACATCTAGCATAATGTCTCCAAATATCCACGATCTTAGCACAATCAATCAGGGAATGTTTTGCTGTGAGGCTTGAATTCATGCAGAAAGGACAAACAGAAGGGAGAGCAAAACCAAGCCTTCGAAGGTTTTCAGGGATTGGCAGGCACTTACGTAAAAGTTTCCACATAAAGATGCTGATCTTGGACTTCTGTGGGGATTCCCAAATATTATGAAACGCAAGAGAAGGGCTAGAATTAGTCCTGCAAACCTCATAAGCACTCTTAAGGGTGAACTGCCCAGATGGGTCCTCATTCCAAATAAATGCTTCCTCCTCGGTATTATGGCAGTGATTGAGAGCTTTGACATTAATATATATATATATATATATATATATATATATATATATATATATATATATATATATATATATATATACTCCCTCCGTCCATAAAAGAACTTCCCACTTTCCTATTTGGGATGTCCACAAATAAACTTCTCATTTCCTTATTTGGCTAAAAAAATTTATTAGAAAGTCAATTTTACCCCTCTTCTCTTTTTCTCTCTTGCGTCTTCTGCATCTTCAAACACTGGCCAACTTCTTCGTTCCCTTTCTTTTTTTTTTTTCATTCTCACCATCTTCTCTGCCATATCTCCTTCCTCCACCATATATCTCTTTCCTCTAGTTTCTCTTTCATTTTCTTATTCCAATTAATTTTCTTCTTTCCTCCATCATCTTCGTTCTATTTTCCGCACCGCATGGGATTTTCGATGTCATCCTACAGTACACAGATTGGGAGCTTTGGAGCAGCATCATCTTCACCGAATCTGAAAAAACGGCACCATCTTCGTCATATTGGAAGGATTGTGCTTTGCTTCGTCGGATCTGAACAAATTCAACTTCCGATATGAGCTGAACAAAGTCAACTTCTGATCGGAATTTTAGATCTGAACAAAGTCAAAATTGAAGATCCAAGATTTTCTCCTAGCCCATCTTCGTCATAGACAGGACCAATTTCACCACCACCGCAACTATAGCCGATTGGGGTTATCGACAAGGTTTTAGATCTTCAATTTTAGATTTTTAATTTTGGGATCTTGGATTTTAGATTTTGAGATGTTTAATTTTAGATTTTTGATTTCGAGAGCTTTTCTCTACAGTGAATGGATTTTGGATCTTGGATTTTTTCTTTGAGGATTTTTTAAACTGGTGTGAATATTGAGATTTGAGATCTTGGTGTTTGTTGAATGTTTGATTTAGAATTAATCTAGAACATGTGTTCTTGACGGAAGAAGATGGAAGAAGGAAACAAACTTTGGTTTCCTGGTAATTGTAAAAGGGTGAAAGGGGCAATTTAGTAAAGTCAATGTTATTTTCATCTCTCCTAAATATGCGTGCCCGGTCAAACCGGGAAGTTCTTTTATGGACGGAGGGAGTATATATACATTTACATACAGACATACACACACACACACACACATATATATATATATATACATATACATATACATAGATAGAATTTTCTACAATTCCAATATCCAAGACCTTAACCTTCAGATCAATTCCTCTCATCTCCCTAGAGGTAACAGTGATCACTCCCCCATCTTGCTTAAAATCCATTCTACCAACTTCATTGGGCCATCTCCCTTCAAATTCCTTAACTTCTGGTCCTCCCACAACACCTTTCTTCCCCTAATCCATCAAAACTAAGGGCCATATGAAGGTGGGGGAATGAGAGGGCTGTCCAATAAACTTAATTCTATCAAAACTGTCCTGCAACATTGGAACAAATCCACCTTTGGGAACATTTTCAAAGACATAGAACTCCATGAAAATCTCCTTGCTTCTCAAACTACAGACCCATCTGCCTCTCCAACTTTGTCAGCAAAACCTTCTCCAAGATCCTGGTCAACATACTCTCCACTATCCTTCCCAAAATCATCAGCCCTGAACAAGGGGGTTTTGTTAAGGGCAGGATTATCCATGATCAGATTCTGATTACTCAAGAAATGTTTCATGGACTGTCAACCAAGTGTAGAGGAGGCAATCTAGCAATTAAACTTGACATGTCTAAGGCTTTTGATATAGTCTCTTGGAAATACCTAAAGGACATTTTGGAGGCTTTTGGTTTCAGTCACAAGTTCATTATGCTCATCAACAATATTATCTCCAACACCAGAATTGCAATCAACATTAATGGTAAAGCCACTAAACCCTTCTCCCCCACCAGAGGACTCAAACAGGGAGACCCATTATCCCCTCTGCTTTTCATCATAGCCTCTGAAGGCTTCACCAGAACACTAAAAACCCTCATGAACAGTAACTACATCCAGCGATTCAGAATGGGCAGGCACTTTCTTCCTATCTCCCACCTAGCCTTTGCTGATGATCTCATCATTTTCCTTAATGGAGCCTCCTCTAACCTCCTAAAGTTTAGGAAATTTCTAGACTCCTATGAGGAAACATCAGGGCAAAGGATCAATCTGGACAAAAGCAGCTTTTACCCCCCTCCCAAAATTCCCCCCCTCAAAATAACCAGGTTCTCAAACATTCTTGGCATGCACAAGGGCCAACTACCTTTCAAGTATCTAGGGGTTCAAATCTTCAGAGGGATCAACAGGAGCCCTTATGTAAGGACCTCATTGAACACTTTGACAAAAAACTTAAGGGGTGGTACAGAAGACATCTCTCTCATAGTGGAAGGCTAATCCTCATCAAACATGTTCTTAACTCCATCCCCCTACACACTATAGCCATCAACAAAACCCCTAAATCTGTCCTAAACCTTCTTAACAAAAAAATGTGTACTTTCCTGTGGGGAGACAGCAAAACCAGTGACAACTATCACTGGGCTTCCTGGGACAAAATTTGTGTTTTAGAAGATAAAAGAGGTTTGGGGGTCAGGTCTTTGAGCAATATGCAGGAGGCCTATAGCCTCAAACTATGGTGGACATTCCATGCCAATGACACTCTCTGGAGTAAATTTATGAGAGCTAGATATCCTAGAGAGAACAATTTCCAACCCCAAATCATTGATTCCACAATATGGAAAAGAATCTGTTCCATACATCATATTGCTACTAACCACTTTTTTTGCAGATACAGAGGAATACTTGCAGTGGACTACTCAACCCATCCAAGATCTAAGCTTCAAGGAAGCTTTCAACATTATTCAGCAAGAAGAGGAAGGGGAAACAATCCTACCATTACAAATCAATTGGAGTTCAAAGCAAATCCCTAAAGTGGCCTTCTTTCAATGGAGGCTATACCTCAACCTACTCCCATTCCCTTCCACGCTCACCAAATTTGGCAGAAACTCCCTCCCCTCAATGTGTCAACTTTGCTACAACAATGAGGACTCAGCATACCACACACTAATTCAGTGCACCTACTCAAGAGAAATTTGGAAATACTTTGAATGGATTTTTAAAATACCATGGCAAACCACCCACGGAACTAATGCATACCTTCAACTCTGGTGGACGAACTTCAAAACAAATAATCTCTTCGACTGGCTAAAAGGCATCCTTCCCGGCATCATTCTATTCAACATCTGGAAAGAAAGAAATAGAAGAATTCACAACAACTCAATCTGGAGCAACAGGAAGATAATAGAGGAATGTGTTGGTCAACTTCAAACCTGGATTCTAAGCAGAGCTCCAAAAAAATTGCAGAAGTACACATCCTGGAGGCTCCCGCAAGAAATTCTGCTCATTCAACCATCCTCTCGTTATCCCAAAATCCACAGATGGATAGCACCACCGGAAGGCTACCTTCATCTCTCAACAGACATCTCCTTCCTCAACAATAGCATGATCGGCGGCTCAATTTTTCGCTGCAGACGAGGAACTTTTATTGCAGCAAGCACATGGAAACTATGCGCAACAACAATTCTGGAAGGAGAAGCATTGGGCTTATTACTTGGCATCAACTGGGCCAAACACTTCTCAGATAAAATTTGGGCCCACACCGACTCGGAGACCACCGTGAAGGGGATTCTTAAAAACAAAAACCCGGGTATAAACCACGAACTTTGGAACCGTCTTTCTAACGCGTCCCAACTACATGGCACCTCAATTCGTCACATTTTTAGAGAGGGCAATTTGGGAGCACATACTTTAGCAAGATGGAGCAACAACAACAACTTTATTTCATCTTGTATTTCTTTCACAACTCTACCCCCTTTCGTTAAGGGAGCCATTACGGCTGATGTAACCCTTCCGTTTATTCGATAAATAAAAATAAAAATCCTTCTCATTAAAAAAAATACACACACACACACACACACATATATATATATATATATGTATATATGTATATATATATATATATGTATATATATATATATATGTATATATATATATATATATGTATATATATATATATTATATTTCAACTATAAAAAATACATCCATGACTCTTGCATCCCTTCACTCTAGGATGGTAATGAAAATTTAAATATTGAATTTGACTGTATAAAATTTTCATTAGATAACAACTGTTAACACTGAAATGATATCAAGTGCTGCCTCAAGTAGAACTTTCGTACTCGGCATAAGACAGAAGAATAAACGGGAAGTTTATGACTCACTGATCCATTATCAACATGCGCATCACATCGCGAGGATAATGAAATGAAAAATTTATCTATGCCGCAAAGCCGTGTGGGAACGAGACGACCGTGAAGAGACGTTCAGTGTAGACTCTGCGTACAGTATTTGTGGATCCGGTGTAAGAGACCCATCTGTGGACTCGACATGATCTGACCATTCAAACGCAAACATTTAGAATTAATAAATCTTTTTGTTTCTTTCC